CCCCAAAACCCCAAAACCCCAAAACCCCAAAACCCCGAAGAATAGTTATAATATTGATATTAAAAATGGAAAAAGCCAGCACTGGTTTAGACAAACTAGGCACTCAGGATGGAGATACTTATGACCCCTTTTCAGATGAAGCACAAGAGATGATGATGAAGCGAGCAGCAGTAGCCTCAATAAAGAGGTCTTCTCACATGAGTCAGCTTCCTGCAATGGATGCTTATATTAGCAAATCTAAAACAGAAAAGGAATTTATAATCGGAGACGGCAGTGACTCAGACGAGGAGGAAAAGATTGATACTTCTAGCAAAGTAGAAGATGCAATCAGGAAGGGATCTTACGACTATACCTGTCCTGAAGACTCTAATCTTAATACTGAAAATGAATCCTCAGCACGTGGCAGTAAAGAATTAAAAGATAAGCCCCTGAAAAGTCCTTCGACTTTACCGACTGAGAACAGTGAGATGGAGGAGGAAAAGAAAGTGGTATCTTTCCAAATACCGAAACATTCATTCGATAGGATTTCAGGAGATTGAATAGAGACTGACGAAGATCAAGAACAATATCATAAATAAATTACTAGCAGAGGTAGTCTCAAATGCATTCGGAAGGCAGATCAAATCCTTCAGTGTTATTGGAGATGTAGATGAAGAAGCTCCAATAGCCCCTGAAAACAGAGTAACAGCCCAAACAGAAGGAATGGAAGAGGCTTTAGGAATAGAGAAGGGCAGCAAAGTTTATTCGTTGGTCAAAAAGTTTGTCGTCAATCTTAAGAAGCGGGTTAAGAATATCAAGATGAAGAAGAACGTCATCCAAGAGATGGTACACACTGAAAAGACTTATATTAAAGGTTTGGAGAGATTAATAGCTTGGAGGGATGAATGCCTAGAAAATAAATTTACAAAAAGCAGTAATATCGAAATCCTTTTTAGTACCGTGATTGACAACATAAAACTCATTAGTGACCAAATTTTGGTCGAAATCACCAGAGCATTTGAAAATTGGGAAAAGGATAGTGTAATTGGAGACATATTCTTAAAATTTGCTCCATTTTTAAAGCAGTACAAAGACTACTGTAAGAATAACGAGAAATCAGGTAAGATGCTCAAGGAGCTCCTCAGGGATAAGAAGTTCAACGAATACGTAAATCAACAGGAAAAGAAATGAGGAGATACTTTTCAGTCGCATCTAATTTTACCTATTCAAAGAATTCCGAGGTATGAAATGCTTCTTGGTGCTGCTAAGAAGCATACTAATAAAAACCAGAAGGATTACAAGCTTTTGTCTGATGCTTGTGATCTTGTCCATGAAATCTGTGATGCAAATAATAAAGAAATTGGTCTATTCCTCGGTCAGAAAAGAAAAATAGAACTTCATGAAGTGTATGGATCACACATAAATTTAATGCTTCCTCAGAGAAACTTAGTTGAGGAGTTTCCAAATCTTTACATGATTGATGTAGAGACAGACAAACCTCAGGAGTGTAGTCTGATCTTATTTACAGACTGTATAATCGTTTTGACTCATCTTAGGAAGATCAGACAAGCTGTATACTTCGGACACACTGTCTTTAATGAAAACTCTTTTATTTACTCAAAGAATGACATGAAGAATTACAAAAACCTGTTTAAGATAGTTGGAAAGACGAAGTGATTCATCATCGGTGCAGCTACAGAAACAGAGCGAGATAGAGTCGTTGATGAAGTCAGCAAGTACATCTTCACTGTTAGGAAATAAAATCAAGAAGAGAGCTAGTCTTCTCAAAGTCGTAGATAAAGTCGAAACTCATTTAGATGTAGAAATTGTATTAGCAGAAAAACAAGGTGAGAAATTGGTGTATGTACTTGAAGGGACCAAGGCTATTACAAATAAAGATGATGCAAGTATTTGCAGAAAGAATGGAGTGTTTCAGTTCAGGCTGTTCAAGAGATATTCCAAGGTTGAAGACTTTCATAAGAAACTTTGAAGTTGTTTTAGTGGGAAATATCTTCCTCCAATTCCACCTAAGAATATAATAAACCAGAGATCGGAGGTGATTGAGAGGAGGACTATCAATTTCGAGCTTTTCTTCCAGACAATCATGCTTCATGAAAGCTACGTCTCCCATGAATTGACTCGAGATTTCTTTAAGTTAAGTAAAGTTAATCGGGAAGAACAAAAAACACAGAAAATGAAGGTTTATTATGCTGATAAAATAAAAGCTTATTTATGTGTTGATGTTGCATATGAGACCGACACTCAGGATATCCTAAATGATTTTAATAAGGAATGGGATATCCGAGATATCAGCGCCTACAGAGTATGATTCGTTAGCGACAAGTATGGCGAGAAAATACTTGACCTGCATGAATGACCGATACAGGTCCTTGAAAATTATGAAGCTACGAGTAAGACAAGTTCGTTCTTTTCAGGGCTGATAGGAAAGAGGGTCACTAAAAAGCCACGTGACAACATTCTCAGATATTATGAAGATAAAGGGAAGACAGCTTTCTTTGTGCGTAGGGTCATATTCTCTCCAGAAGATTACGAGCTTAACTTTCGAATGCCCTTCTCCGAGCTCTACAGGAGATATTATCAATGCCTCTACGAGCTAAAAGTAGAGAGCATCTGTGGGAAATCATATGAAGAATATGTCGAAATCTGAGGACTAATCACTTTCCTTAGATGTAAGAATAAGGCTGACTGGAAACCATACGATATTGTTCCTTTTAAGGAGATTTCATCTGTTATTCCAAAGGACATGTTCAAGAAGCATAAGAAGAAATGGCAGAAAGATATTTATGCGAAATGGGACGAAAGCTCAAAGCAATTCAAAGGCGGAGAGGAATGTGCATATAATTTCCTTACAGTTATGACTAAAATGGATTTCTACGGGTACAACCTCTTTTGGGTCGAAAATTATAAGAAACAGCCTGGGCCAAAGAACATGTGGTTAGCTGTGAATTGTTTCGGATTCAAGCTACTAAACGACAAGATGACTGAAGAAGTAATGAAATGCACCTATGAAGACTATTCCTTTGACTATTACCAAAATGCAGTCATTCTGAAGAACAAAACAACTGGGGAGAACATGAGGCTAACTGTGTCAATGGTGTATCCTCTCTATATGATTTTCCAAGAAATGGAAAAGCTTAGGCAATAATTTATAAACTAAATTTCTGTGAGGGTTCCCTATGTGGGGTTTTGGGGTTTTGGGGTTTTGGGGTTTTGGGG